GAAAAAGTGAAGTAATGCACAGTGAAATAAATACATCAATAATCGCAAGTTTTGTGACACGCAGTTTAGTATTTCGCAAGAGTTTGAAAAATTCTTAGTTTGAAAAAGGTTTTTTGAAGGAAATGAATCAGCGCGCATAAAATGAAAGAAAATCCATGGAGGTATTTGGGCTAGAAGATCTTTTTCTTCAGAAATTTGCAAAGAAATTTTCAACAGGGTCGAACTCGTGGTGCATAACTTGCTAACTGTATAAAATCCCGTATATTCCTTTATAGTACTTTGAGTTCACGTACACCAACATTATAGCCTTCTTGATTCGTGTTGTAAGCGTTGCCTCCACTTTGTCCGTTCACTCCATTCATATTCATCACGCCATTAAGATTGGAAGGACCAAATGCACCAGGGCTCATGGAATTTTGGTTCTGGTTTGGCCTGAATGAAAACTTTCTATGGAAACCTTGCCCAGTGGCACCTGGACCTTTACTTACTGCATGTTATAATTATATCTGTTGTTGTCATTCCCATTTTGGTATCCTTGCTGATTGGGCATATTCTGACCGAAAACTCCAGCACGAACTCCTTGAACCACTCCCTGGGCCACATCTCCCACGGTATTCACTACGCCGGCAGCAGTATTGGCCACTTGACCAGCTAGATTACCAGCTAGGTTACCAGCTAGGTTACCAGTGACATTACGTATAGCTTCTAAAAAATTTCTCAAATTATGGATACAATAAAAATAATTAGATCTCACGAGGAACTCCTTGAAGATTGATCCACTTAGAATCACTACCACCTCCACCATAGGCAGTTGTAAGATGATTGCGGTTACGGTAATATGTTTCAAAATCGCGCTGATTCTGCAAATGCACAACTTTTCTCAGATAATATGAATCAACTAAATTTGCAAACCTGCTCCATAGTATTGGCCTGCGCATAAGTGCGCCATTCTGGTACGAATAGATAGAAACAGACACGCTTCACAACATTTAGCTGCTCATCCCCACGCACTGGATCGCGCTCGATACCGTAATCCGGCAAGCAAAAGTCGAAGCAGTCCGAGCATTTGCGATCTGAAATTAAGGAAAATTAGCCAATAGGATTTCGTTTATTTGCCGGACAAACTTTTCTGATTGGTTCCTGCATACTCCAGCTGAACCCAACGAGCCCCCTCGCATTCTTTTATTGGGGTGCTAAACATCTGCTGGCCATTCATGGTTATCGGAGACGGTAGATAGTTCCAGCTTTCATGCCATCCTTGAGTTTGAGAATTGCGCTGTAAATCACGAGCAATTTGATGAGCAATTTTGTGCTAAATCAGTCGATGAAGCTAAGAATTTACTTTGTTTTGATAACCCGTTAACGTAAAAAGGGAAAAAAGAGA